CTTGTCTTTTATAGCTTCTAGCCTCCCTTATAGCAGTCCTTACCAGGCCCAATGCCTCTCACCAAAGGACTCATCCTCAACTGCTAGTCTCTTCTCCAGCCTTTCTTTCTCCCAAGTGCATCCTCTACACTGTACCCATTTTAACATGTCTCAGGCATTTCTACTCAAGTCACTACCTAGACTAATACCTTTTAGTAGCCTCACAGAATAAAATCCAAATGCTTACACACTTCATAATATAGCCCTTACCATACCTTCCCAATCTCATATCCCAAAACTTCTTCCAGTTAGAATAGTGACTTCTTCCCATTCCTTCTCATGTCCAAAAGAGGCCTATTTTTCACAGACCAGCTCAAACACTATTACCATAAAGGCCTTCCCTGACCACCCAAAACACACTCTCCATCAATTCCCTAAAAAAAAAGGCTAAATTTTCAATTAAATTGCAGAGCTTTATTCACCTTCTACCTTATAATCGCCTCTTATATACATGCTTTTCATCTCCCCTCCTTGACTGCTGACTTCCAGGTGAACAGGCTCTAGGTCTGGCCAGTCTTTTTTTAACCATCCACTACTTCTCTCCAACCCCACTCAATGCTCCTTCCTACAGTGCCTTACTAGGTGGAGTTTAATAACTATGTTAAGTACTTGCTCTACTCAGATCAGCAAAAGAGACTAAAAACAAAACAATTTTGTTGGGCATGACAGTAAATCATGGTAATATTTCAATCAACTATAACAACTTGCCTTGCTAGTCACTGGACCCTGCATGTTTCACTCAGCATGATTCAGTAGCTCTGTTCTCAAACATTCAGTCACTGCAGTGAATGGATAAACTTTGTTTCTTGGTGGAAAACGTCCCAAGGAAAAGACACTGTTGGTAACAGAAGTGAAAGAAGATAGTGAAAAATAAGGAATGGTATAGAATAGTGCTTAAGAGGTCTCCAGACTATATATAATTATCAATAGCCTGAAACCTCTGTTGAATGGGTAAAAAAAATATATGAAGAGACAGGGGGACTCCCTGGTAGTGCAAGGGGTTAAGCCGCAACCTATGAAGCAATCCGCAGCCACTGCAGCATGAGTTTGATCCCCAGGCAATGAGCTACCCACATGGTGCAGCAGACCTCTCCTGACTTGCCTGCTGCTCCCCTCAGCAGTGTACTTCAGTCGATCTGCCTATTCTGTTCCCCACTCTTTCTCTGGTGAATCCTCTCCCACACCCCCCACATACCTCTGGCCTGTTCCCCAGTTCTTGTATAAATAAATAATCTTTTTAAAAAAAATATGAAAAGATAAACTTCAAAACTGAAAAGAGAGCAAAGTTTCCTCTTTCCCTGTTTCTATCAGCCTATACTGATGAAGCGTTTTCTGGAACTGTGCTGTTCAACAGCACTTTCTGGAATGACACAAGTGTTCTATTATCTGCAACATCTACTACTAAGGGAGTCACTAACCACATGGCTATCTCGCATTTGGAATGGGTTGGAAAGGGGTTAGTGTGACTAAGGAACTGAATATTAAACATCTGAATATTAAAGTAAACTAAGGAACTGAATATTAAAATAAACAGCTACTGACTGACCAGAAATCCAGAATATGGAATGCCTTCACCTTGTTACTTTTGTTATCAAAATTATTTTTCTACAAATCCCAGTAAGGTAATAAAAGCCCATCATCAATTTTTCTGTTTAATAAATCATTTATAGTTTTTCCACTTTTCACTTTTACTTTACTAATGAAGGAAAGGAAGAATGATTTAAGAGGAGACTAAGAAAAAGACTGCATATCAAGGTCAAAAGGCGAGGCACCATGCTAAAAGCATTCTCTGTGTACTATTTCTTATTATCTTCAGTTACCTGGGAGCTAGACATTACTCTTCTTTTAAAGGAAAAACCCGAGAGATAGTAATTGGCTTGCCTATGATCACTGGTTAGTAAACTAGGATTCAAATCCATATTGAACTCCAGAGACTTAAAATGAGACAAAAATGGGCTGGATGAAAAGTAGGTTAGGTAACTCTTGACAGATTGGTATTATTCAGAGCACATTAAAAGCTGGGCCAGGCACCAACAAGAGACTAAGGATATGCTCAGTCAACTTTTCTTGACATCTGGTAAATTCATTTATCCCTTAAACCACCGGCATAATTCTAAGTTGAAAGATACAGCTGTGAAGAAAAGAGAAAAAGTCTCTACCCTGGTGGGTTTATAGTCAAGTGAAGAAATTAAAAAAATAGTAGGGAAAATCTTTACAGGTTGAGAACTGAACTGATACCTGAGTAAATGTCACCTAGCTATATGGAGAAATTGAGGAAGACTGTGCCAAGTCAAGGGAATTTCAAGGACAAAAACACAGAGGAAATGTACAGAGGACGGAGTTAGTGAGGAAAAGGCATAATGAATGAGAAGTAGGAAATATGGCTGCAATGTTAACTAGGGGCCAGATCGTGTTGGGAGATAAAAGGTCACTGGAAGGTTTTTAAATATATCCTAAGATCATGGTGTATCATGGAAATTGAGAGTTGGGGATCAGAACGTTAGGTTTATCAAAAAGAGTGTGAAAAACCTAACCTGATTTATGTTTTAAAGGGAACACTGAAAGTATAGGGAAGCAAAACCAAGAAGAAAAAAGTAAAAGCAGGAAAACCACATAGGAGGGGTTTTTTGTTGTTGCATGGTAAAGAAGTTGAGATTAGTAGGACAGCTAGAGATGTGGAGTAGAAACAAAAACTAACTTTAGGACAGACTTAAGCTAAATATATATGGTCAAAGCACTAGCCATATTCTTCTTTTTAAAGAACAAACATTGATTTCTCATAGTTCTGGAGTTGGGATATCCAAAACCAAGGTGCTGGCAGATTCAGTGTCTGGGGAAAGCCTAGATCCTAGTTCCATATGCTTATACCACCAGACAAAACCTCCACCATGGAAGTTCTCAGAGTGTGCTTACAGATAATCCAGTTGTTACATGTCAAAAATTTTTGCTATTTGTTTTTATTTAAATGAGTATCTCAAAACAAGTGTAGCCAGTCCTAAACATTATTATTAATATTCAAGCAGCATCAACAAGTTAACACCCCCGCAAAATACTTCCTAGCTACTCTTGCCTTCCTTTGCATACAAGCATTTTCAGTTTAATGAGCTAACTGGACTAAAATGTCCCAATCGATTTTTCCTAGTCAAAGTTTGTATCATCATTTCCAAAAAGCTTAAACCAGAGCACAGGAAATAGGGACACAGAAAAAGTAAATGAAAGACTGTCAAGTCAGACCCATAGGACTGTGCTTGCCTGTCTATCCTCCTGTGCCAATTTAAGCTGAAAAGCATGTTTATTTGTTTACGGTGCATATTGCATTGGCTGGATTTCTCTCAAGGCCACTCTGACATTATCTAAGGGCATTTGCAGGATAATGACCAGTATACTGACTTCAGCCTATGTGGGCTCCAGATGGCTAGAACCTGGACTTCAAAGTACAGCAGGTGCTTAGTAAAACTGCCTAATGAAAAAGCAGCTGCCTTCCACAATCCCAACCTGAGTAATGTATCCCCCAAACACTCCTCAACTTCTCTTAGTATAAAAGTGCTAGACCACTCATTACCTTCCCCATAAGGACCTAGAGTATTTCTACCCTACCTCACTGCTCTGAGCAACAAGCTCCATTTCACTGACTGCCTGCTGTGATTTAGTCCAATACTAGCTTTAAGGGATGCCTTAGTTTTCTCTTTGATCTTATTCCTCTGCTTTTATACAATATTCATCTGATGTTTCTCCCTCCATGGGCGGGTGAAGAGAGGTGGAGGGGGGCAGGGGGCATCATTATATTATATTATAGAGTAGAAAAACCAAAGGAAAAACCTGGGTGCCAGTCCCAGTAACCCTTTAACTTTGTCGTCAATTCCTTTTCTATAAACGCAAATCACACACATGCTGGTTCCTTCACAAGGTGGTTCTGAAGTCTAATCTAAATGAGAAAAGGCTGCAAACTGTTAGGTGCTTCCCATATCTAAGATCCAAGTAAAGATGGGTTCAGACAAAACCAACAGACCAAGTCGAATCAACACAATGAAGTCACTCAACAAACATTAAATCAAACAATTATTTCCTCCAATAATGGGGAGAGAAGTGGTAGCAAACTGGCCAGGTGAGCCAGTTTGACTGTAGGGTCTTTGGGACCCTGTACAGTCTCTGGGATTTCTTTCCTCCTACCTGTAAAAATAAGGCTTTGACAATGGAGGGCTCTAATATTGCTACGTTCAAGGGTGAGGAATCAGAGAGGCCAAATTGCCTTTACCTGCAGTGTCACAAAGCCAACAGAAAAGAGTGTAAGGAATGAACTGAGAGGCAAAGGACTCGAGGTCTACTTTAGCTCATTTCTCACGAGCAGTGTGACCTTGGTCAAATACCTTAAAAAAGCAAACTCCCTCCTCCCGTCCACATCTGTCACCTGGGGAAAGCATCCCAGCCGGCCCGAATCCCGGGTTTGCTGGGGAGTGCAGAGACGACAGCGCGCGCCCCTATGGGGTACCCGCTAGCTACAACCCTAGCTGTCTCCCACCCCTCGCCCCGGGAAGCGTCCCAAGCTCTTCCGCAGGCGAGGGATGTGCCCCTTCCGGATGCAGGACGAGCCAGGACAGCAGTTTCGATTTCCTAAAGAGCAGGGCTACTTCCCCCCTCGTCCCAGCAGCGCGGCAATCAAAGGAGCTCCCTCGCCGCCCGCGGGATCCCCACGGCTGCACGGAGTCCCGGCTCCAGACCTAAGCAGGCTCCACCCGCAGCGGGGGTCCCGGGAGGGCAGAAACTGCCGGAGGGGCGTTGCCATAGGAATCGCGCTCTAGACCAGGGCCCCAGGCGCCCCGGGAAAGCAGAAGAGGAAGGCTCGCGAGACCCGCTGTGCTCCATACGACCACGCCCGGTCAATCCCTCTCAGGGCTGCCTAGCCCAGCCAGCAGCGCCCCCACGGCTCCGCGCCTTCCCGCGCGGCTCCACAAAAACCCTACCTTCCGCCATGTCGGGCCCGGCCCTGCCAGCAGCCTCGCGAGAAGTGCGCCCCTCAGCTAGGACGGTGGTAACGGAGAACCCAAGTCTCGCGAGAGTTGTGGGACGCCAGGCCAGGGAGGAGTCGACGTCGGGAAGGAGCCGTGAATGAAAGGGGAAGGGACGCGGGACGCCGGAAGGGCTGAGACTGCCCTTACCTCACACTTGGAAGGCGCGGGACTTCTTCAAGAACTGACTGGGCTCTAACATAACCCACGGCTTTGGAAGGACACTGGAGTGTAGACTTCTCTTTGGAAAAAACTAACTGTGAGAGGGTCAAGAAAGGGGTTTTGCAGGTCTCTAGATTTACTTGGGAAGATGTGAGCGGCTGAAAGAGCCACCTTGCGAGGTGGGATCCCCTCCAAGGGGATGCAAAAGTAATTCAGGAGAAGGGATTCATTACAGTCGAGGCAGGTCACGTGTTATTCTAGTAAAACGTTAGGAAACAAGAACATGCTTGCAGATAGAAATGACAGGGGGAAAGTGACAGATCGCTTGATGATATCAATTTATGGTTTAATTTCATAGCCAGAGAGAATTTAAAAATTGGGGAGAGGTAGGCCTGGTTTCAAGTGTCCTCCTATATGTGTGAATAGGTTACTTTTTTATAAAGAACTCAGCCACCTGACTGTAAAAGCAGAAATTACATGCACATGCCTTAAGTGGGACTTACTGCTAACAAGAAATGGAGTGTGTGAGAATAAAGCTCAGGTGTAGATTGGGTAGAAGTTGATGTAGGAATGAAACTACAAGCCACTGTGTTATGATAGAGAAGACTAGTTTAGTGGGGATAAGGTGAGAGCTCTGTGGTCAGAATGACAAACTGAAGTTGCTATGTTCACTAGCATAGGAGATGATAAAGTCTAGGATAGAGCCATGGAATAGAGTAGAAGTGGAAGTCAGAAGCCAGGAAAATTGAGCTGGGAATTTAGATGTAGCAATGGAGGGAGACCATTAGCCTGGTGCTAATATCTTTAGTGAATGTTGGGATGACTTTGACCAACAAAGAGGAATAAATTTAACTGAATGCCATGAGGCCTTTCAAAAAGGATTTTTACTCAAAGGAGAATCAAAGGAATGCTGACTGTACCCATTCCTAGAAGCACCAGTAATTAAGAACTGCAGGGGAAGTGGTGGCTTTGGAGAACAGCCAAGAGTAAGAAACTGAGTACAGGATGAGGGTATAGAGCAGAAAATGGGAAGAATTTAAAGTAAGAGTTTTAGATGCTATGCTTAATCATTAGTGGGTGGTGAGGTGGAATAGAGAAGGAATTTGGGGTTTAGATCATGGAAACATAGGGTCATGGACTTAACATTTTGAGGAAGATATATTCTGGCTGAGGAACTCCTGGGAGAGGGAAAAGTGGTTACTGAAATGTGTAGGTACAATGGTATGCTTAAGATGTGCAGGTGTCCGTAGGGAGGTGCTTTACAGGGCTGCACTGATAAAGAAGCACTTAAAGAAGGGCAGTGGGGTGCTTATCAATGAAGGTACCATACCTCAAAAGTTCGCTGTCTATCCAGAATGGTTTATAGGTGTCCCAAATGGTGAGCCCTTGGGGCCTTCAGGGCTCGTCTCCTCTGGCCACAGATAGCCTCCTCTATTTATCTTAAGGGCACCCTTACAAATATTTCCTGCCATAACATTAAAAATGACATAAAAGTGGTTGGAAAGTAGTCACACATGATGCCTGGTCTTGCATCATGTGACTTGGCTTTCCTGCATCAGCATCAGCCTACGGTCTGGTAGACATCAGATACTCAAAACATTTGATGAGTTCTTACCACTGTTAACTATACTACGAGTCAGGAGAACTAAGTTCAAGCTTGGCTCTACAACTGATTTGCTGTATTGATCACGGGCAAGTTCCCGTACTGTAAACTTAACTGCGTTTCAGAGTCTCCATCAAATTCAAGAGTTGGACTAGAATCTGTGGTTCTTCACGATTGAAAGGTCATGACCCTCAGAGAAGTTGATGGAAGGCAGGAATGGTTTTCTTTCTCACAGCACCACATGCACAGGAATGCACAAATTTGTGCTCTTTTAGTCTGCTTGGACTTAACTCTAGGGGTTGGCTATATCTTCATCACAACCTACCTTCAATAAACCTCTATCAGAGATGAAAGAAAACCTTTACTATAACCCTATCTCTTGTGCCCTTGTCTTCTGAGGGGAGTCTTACTGGCTTTAAACCCCTGAGCTAGAGAACTTCTTAATAAAGCCTGTAAAATAAACCATTTATAGTACTCAGTGAACTATAGCACCCAACAGGGTTGGATGGAGCTACATTAACTAGGACCTGAATACATTTTTAAAAATCTGAGCACTAGAATATGGTTTTAGACCTAGTTCAGGCTTTGCTGTCAGATTAAGAGGAACTTAGTACAGAGGCAAGAAACAGTGCAAGAAGAAACAAATGCTGACTGCCTTAAAAACATGGGGGAAGACATTTTGGGGAAGTATTACCACACCATGGTAGCAGGGGGAATGGAGGAAATGACTATATTAGTAGTCCAATCAATCAGGTTCAGGTACCAGCTTCAACACATCCACTGTCTTATGTGACACTAAAGAAATGTTCTTAGGCTCTGGTTTCCTCTTCTATAAAGTGTAACAGTACACTGTGTATAGGGAAGAGTATAGAAACTAATACCCAGCAGCAAAACTGATTTTGCTCTACAATCTTGACAAACTAATCTGAACCTGTTTCTTCTTCATGACAATTAGTCACATAATTTTTAGAACTTGAATAAATCTTTTATCAAACATCTAGCAGACTTCCCATAAAGTAGAGGCTCAATAAATAGGAACCTGATTTCTACTGCTTGTTAGTAATGAGTATCACTGAATACACAAGTGCTATATTCCTAATAGATTGAACTCGTGCTGCAGAGGCTGCGGTTAGCTTCATAGTGCAGTGCTTAACCCCTTGTGCCACCAGGGAGGCCCAGATGCGCCTTTTGAAAAGTTTTTCCTTCTGCAGTTTATTCCTATGTGAAGAGGATTCAAATTTCTTCAATAACTTCACTACAACAGTACAGTGTCGGATGCTGACTCAACAAACCAAAAGCCCAAATCTACCCTTGCAGTCAGGTTCTACACATCGGAAATAGAGCAGTCAAAAATACCTTATCCTGGAAAAGATTTGCTGTGTAAATCTAAACCAGTTGAGATTTGCATTCCTCCAGAAAATGAAAATTTTAAATTTGATAAAATTATATATATATAAATATATATATAGATATTATCTGCCTTGAGATGTTTTTCACTATATACTTTTAGCATAAGACCGATACTGAAAGTTCAGGGACATCACCTACACCTTCTACAATGGTTCTATTTCAAATATATTTATCAGGGAAATTAACTTCTGATCCCCATTACTTCTTGCTTCTAAAAATTTCCTTCTTGTTTCTATTTCAGCTCTGATTAAAAGGTCTGACTCCATGCTGTTATCTCATTTGTTTTTTTAAAGATTTATTTGATTACAAGAGCTGGGGTACAGCCCAGAGGTGTGAGGATTCACCAGAGACAAAGCAAGGAACAGAACAGGCAGATTGATTGAAGCACACTGCTTAGGAGAGCAGCGGGTGAGTCAGGAGAGGTCTGCAGCACCATATGGTTACTCCCTGGCCGGGGATCGAACTCACACCGCAGAGGCTGCAGGCAGCTTCACAGCGCTGCGCTCAACCCCTTGAGCCACCAGGGAGGTCTTCTCTCAGAATTTTTAAGGAAGAATAAATAGACACTAACAACTTAAATCAAGATAAACTTTTGACACCCAACACTGTAAATTCATATGCTCTATAAGGAAGCATGAACTTTCAGTAAGGATGGACACTGACATTCCATTTTTTAAAAGTGTATTTCATCTTTCCCACTAACTGTAAGGATTCCTAAGCAGATATTCGGGCCAAATTTGCCCATATGTTTAGGAGAGGGGAGATGGTGATTGAGAGGGTACCTGCAGTTTCTTGCAGCTTTTATTTGGGCTATGCTCTTCACTTCTAACTTATCTCCATGGCAGAGCCAGTTTACGGCAAAGACAGGATCCCCAACAATGCTCTAAATGTGCATATTTTATTTAAGGTTCTAAATCAGCATGCACAGAAACTGATTAAAAATAGTACTTGTTCATGTATTGGAAATTATAAGTGACACATCGGGTTGGAAGTCAACTCCCCACCCTCTGGTTCCTTCTTAAATGAAGTTACAAAAATTCTTTATCAAAGTCCCCCTGATACCTCTGGTATCATGTGCTGTTTATATAGAAAGAATCCAACAGTGTTTTTGAGACCTGCATCCTAAAACCAAAATAGCTCATGATACAGCCTCTAAGTCATCATTTATTGATTTATAGAGCACCTATCACATAATCAAGGTGCTTTACAATACAGTAAACATCACAACAGAACTCACATAGTTAAAATACAATCAACAAGTTACAGAACTAAAAAAAAAAAAAAAAAAAAAAAAAAAAAAAAAAAAAAACAAAACGGGAATGAAGCAACATTATGTCAAATTTCAAAGATGCTGAGAAGTGGCAGTACAAAAAAGGTAATTCCACCAACTGGAGACCAGACGGGCAGAAACACAGGCACCACAACCCCAAAATGGGCAGATCTGTAGAGGATGAGTGAGCATACAAAATTTCACAACCAAGGATGAAGACCATTTAAGATACCATGATACCCAAGTCATCACAGAACTAGTAGAATAAGCTCACAAAGATATTATCGTATAATGACAAGAAAACCAACCTCATATGGATTTTAAACTCACAGAGGCCAGAAGGCCACCAAGATAATCCATCCCATTATGAACATTATATGCTGAAATCTATATGCCTTTACAAGAACTCGGAATTTAGGAAACAGCCAACAGTTCTACAATCCATAAGACCAGGTTGATGTTATTGATAGTTGGCACAAAGGTGGGGGTGGGGGGCTCCTTTTCCTAAAGCAGAGAGGACTGCACACTATTGATGAGGCAATGGTGGGACAAA